AAACGTGAAATGTGACAAAATTGAATATCTTACACGAATATTATTTAATGATTTTATTTAATCCAGAAGCAATATGATATGTACATGTATGATAGGCAAGTGTATAGGCTTTAAAGGCCCCTTCTTCATGTGTTAATTACTGGTGTTTCCGTGTGTCTGACGATCCAAAACTTGCAGCATTTTCACAGAATTTGTCTTTTTCAGTAATCTGCATCTTGCAAATTTGGTATCTGAAATATCTGCTCATTCGCTCGAAGACTACTTCAAATCAGAACCCATTTCAGGTACTGCTGTTGGTGGTTCTTCAGTTTTTCTTCATAAGCAAAGATCAGCGCGTTGAATTCACTCTAGACACACGAACCTTCGTGCTAATGCGTCTGTTTTAGCCGTTGAAAGTGAAAATGCGGAAGGAAGCAAAGAAGAACCTGATGTTTCACAAACTTTCTTCATGCATGACATGTCAAGAATTCTCAATGACATGTAAGTTTGGTTGTACTACTTCATCGCTGTCTTCTAAAACTTACAGTTTAGCAGGGAAGAACTTGCACAGTTCTCACTGTTCAAGCAAACCAAAGGCAGACGGCTCGAGGAGACGATCAGACGACTAGAACATGAAGTAAGATATTTCTGCATTGATGATTGATGACGGTGACAAAACGTTTTTTGTTTAAAGCGTTCGTTGCAACGCGAATCCTTCTTAGAAGAGTTAAAAGCGACACGTGGCATCCAAGGAACGGCTTTGCCTGAACGATTCTTTGAAGACAAACCGGAGTTCGTAGGTATGCACCATGCCTGTTTTGAAAAAAAAAACTATTGTTTGTGCATGTTATAGAGCTTACACCACAACAGCGGGAAATTCTAAAACACGCTTGGTTCGGTCGTAATGCCAACGAAGTTCTTGTTCAGGGTTTCGACTTGGAGATCAAGCGTCATGATATTCTTACCTTGAAGGGACTCAACTGGCTGAACGATGAGGTAAGCTGCTTGTCTCAGTACTGCGATCTGCATGTTACAAGATGTCCAGATCCTTTCAGTGTTGCCTAACGGTAATTATTACTTTACTATTTTCAGGTGGTTAACTTCTATTTCAATCTTATAATGGATAGAAGTTCGTCATCGCAGTTGAAAGTTTACGTTTTTTCTACTTTCTTCTATCCTAAACTAGTCAGAACCGGCTACAGTTCACTTAAACGCTGGACTCGACGGGTGGACATCTTTTCCTACGATATTCTGCTGGTTCCCGTGCATTTGGACATCCACTGGACTCTTGCTGTAAATTCAACTTCCGTTTTTTAATGACATTTTGCATGTCTTAACTACAGGTAATTAACTTCAAAGAAAAGACAATAAAATATTATGATTCGCTTGGTCATTCCAACGATCAGTGTTTGAACTTGTTGAGGTAAGCATCTCTTTTCTAATCATTTATCGTCGTTATATTCTTAATTTTTGTTATACTCTTGTTTGACGACAATTTCATTTACACTGATGGATTACTCATGAATTGACCACCGTTTAAATGGGTATTTGCTAGTATTCAATTTGCATTTTCAGTTTTTCTGTGATGTTTTTGGGACTCCTTATTATAGAAGTTTTCATTTCTCCTACAGATCAACCACATCAGTTAGGTCAAATGACCATAATGGTAATCTAAAGTGAAGTGGTTTGCACTTTTAGATCGTCTCAGATCTGCATCAGCTTGCAGTTTCTATTAAATAAAAGAGCTTAAAGCAGTCAGTTGGATCGTCAGTCATGACGAGCCATAACCTACGTTTTCCAAATGGTTGGTGAAGAAGCTGGGAAGCAGTCTAGCATATGAATAGATTTTTGAAAATTAGTTTTTGATTGCAGATACTAGGCTTATGTTTATCATAGTCAGTTTGCCACACATTGCTTCAGACCGTGACTTCTCAGTGCATAGAGGGTCGAACTCAGGACCAGTGGGTCCAGAGTTCAAGCCCTTGTCGTGGTAACTCGCCCTTTGTCCATCCGAGGTTGATTAGTGTGTATCACTGGGGAAGGAAACAGAAGACTGCACACTACGCTTTCCATATGGCTATAGACTCTGCCTTAAAAAAACAAACTCCTCCTCGCTAATTGGCATAGAAACGGAAATCAGCGCCGCATCAATAACTTCATGAAAAGAAGTGCGTCAAAATCGCCGTATCATGAAAATGAAGGAAGAATGACATCTTGACGGTACTATGCTTTCCTTTTTCTTTTATTACGGTCAGTTTGCTAATGAATGATAGCAGAAGACTCTGTTCAAATATATGGGCTTTTGATTGCTTAAGTTTTGCCACCTTGCACTGCTGAGATGAGGCTGCCTCAGTTGTTAGTGCGCTAGCAGCTGACAGTTAAGGAATCGTGGATTACAATCCCGGTCGGAAAATTTGCCTTTTCATTTTGCGCTGTTAGAAAGGAAGCTTAAAATGACCTAAAGACTGTCTTTAAAAAACGTTATTTGTGACTGATAACATTTAAATAGAAATCAGCGCAGTACCATGAGCTGCTTAATGGAAAGGTCAGATGGCGTAAGTCATGAGAATGAGAGGGAAAGAACCAAAATTTTACTACTTGAGAAAGATTGTAAAAGTATCACCATAAGCGAAATTAATCATCTACATAACCTGAAATGCAGATTAATGATAATGAAGCAAGAATTAAGAAAACTATGAAACTGTCATGTCTTTTCTGTTAAATTGATATAAGAATTTGAATGTCATTAATGTACAAATCTTCGTAAGAACTCTAGAATTTATCACGCTAAACTAACATTTAAAATTTGCCGCTCTGCTGATACGGAACAAGAACAAAATATTGAAGAATTTGTGAGATAACACGTTACGTTATTCTATTAGCCTGGCCAATAACCCTTGTACGAACTTTCATTTTTTTCTTCCTTGTTAGCTCGTATTCACTTTCGTTGTCAAATTTGCAGAGACAGAAACTTCAGCAAATATTTTCATTTTTTTTCGACCTTCCGCCAGTTCGATGAAATGCTAAGGATTCAATATGTCCTACCCTCCCGACTTTGAATCTATCTCGTTGCCTACCCTCTGGCTTTATAATGAAAGTCTGTCTTGCTATTATCCCTAAGACATTTTAATGATGCGTTGAAGAAGATATGATTTGCAGGCGAATACATCTTAGTTGCCTTGCTTGGAATCTTGCTAAACTTAAGATCATTTGCAGTTGTTTTCAAACCACTTTTCCTTCTGCTTGTCTGTTTTTGCGTTCTGATTTTTAGCTGCAATGCGTATTTTCTTATTTCAGGCAGTATTTGCATTTGGAATGCAAAGATAAAAAAGGCGAAGATTTTTGCATAAATATGCAGTTAATCAACATGAAGGTATTTATTCTACGTTCCTATAAAGGCATCGTTTTGATTGAATATACTTGTCCAGGACATTCCTCAGCAAATGAACAGCAGTGACTGTGGTGTATTCGCTTGCAAGTTCGCCGAGTATGCTTCAAGGCATGCAAAGATAAATTTCTCCCAGGTCAGTGAATTGACTGAAAATTATAACAGTGTTTTTATTGCGCATATTTTCTGATTTACCGCACCCAGCAGAAAATTTTCGATTTTACAAATTTGCTTATTATGCTAATAGGTGTATTGAATTCTGTTGAAATTTCCTGACTAGATTGCCTGTTTTCATGCTTTTGTAAACTTTACAATCGGGAATCTGTTTTACATATTTTGTGGAAGAAAGTGATTCTAGAAAACTGATCACATGTTAAGAACTATTTTAACTTATTTGAAATCAGGTTCTATAGTATCTTCAGTCTTTTCGCGAATGTGTGCTACATCTTGACAATAACTGTTTTCCAATGATTCTAACGGTCGTTTGTCATTTTAGACGCA